GGCTTGTGGGAGCTGACCAATCGAAGCAGGCAGGGATACTCGGGAGGTGGCGCAGGAGCTCGAACAGAGTCAGACAGAGGGTGAATAGAAGTGCTGTAATAACACAGTATTGCCCAAGGAAGTTAAATAAATTATTGTTCTGTATTGTCACTGCATAAATCATAGACAGTAAACATTATTAAAAAGGGCCTTCTAATTTTATTTAATACAGTTATTTATCTATTAGATGTTGCTTTCTTCATTACTTTATTATAATATTGCAAGATCTTCCAAGATCTTTGCTGCAAACCTTGTGAGGGTGTATACAGTCAGTGTAGTCATGGATGTATGTACTGTATGTGGTGGTAGCCACAGATGGATGAATACTAGGGGATCAGAGTGAAGAGGAGGAACCTGGAAAACCACAGTTACATAAAATAATTGGAAGGTTATATAACTGTTAAATGTTTGATGTTCGTTTTTGTTTTTTTTTCTTTTGACGGCGCTCCTATGGCGGGGCTCCACTTTTGCTGTCAATTTAAAACATTTCCTGATTACAGGTCACCATTCATCTTCCCACTTACACATCTAAATTGTCACTATGACTCATAAAATTGCAGCTGTTATGGTGATAACATTAAATTAGATTAATGTCAAACATTACAGAAACATAAACCCTTTTCACAACAGACAGAGTGAAAGAGGCGATGTAATAATATAAATAAACGACATATCTTACCTGAAACCTGATTAACTCTTTCACGAAAAGAACAGAACATACCTCAAATTATGAACTGTTTTGACTCCTTCTGTTATAACGTTTTTGATCTGTGAAACTCATGAACTCATAGGCGGGCCCTGTGGGAGAAACACTACTGCATACATTCGGTGGACTGCGTACCCAGGAAAACTTTTTTGGTATATGCGCCAGGCGAGCAATTCTCATTGGAGGGAATTGGTGCCATCTTTGGCATCCGGTACCTAGTTATTATAATACATCTGTGGTGGCACTTTATTGCCAAGGCAATCAGAACTGTTTATTTTGTTAATATTAGCATTAACAGATTTTCAACCATTTCTGTTTTTATTGCAAGTGACAAAAAATGAAGTGAAGAAATGAAAATTTACATTTAAGAAATAAGACATTGCCTACAGCTGATAAACTAAGGCAGACTGCTGCAGGGAAGACGCAGCACTTCAACAATAGCTGTCCATCTTAAGTATACGGTCAGGTCTTTATGTTGCATGATCTAATTTGTCTGTCAGTGGTTAGTGTTTGCATATCAAGAAAGAAAATGATGTTTGTGTACAGTGACTCTCTTAAATCATGTGAGATGTAACTTAAGAAGACCCAGTTTATCTAGAACACGTATATAAGCTATGTGCTGTATATGTGAAAGAGAGCTAATGAAGGGATAGGTAACAGCTCCACTTTCCACTCATGTGAGAATAGGGGTAAAGAGGAGCTGTGAACTCAGGGATGGGTTCATTCAGTCCTGTGACCATTATCATGTCATCGCATCTCGCCACTTTAGCAGCCGGGGGACACGTGTGTCCCTGAGCTGCCTGTCTTGTGCATATAAATCTAAAGTTGAAAGAATATCTGGCTAACAGGACAATGTGGGAATTACTTAACTGATTGTTAATCATTTGTTGCACATAAGAACAGATGTAGCCAACGACAAAAAGCAGCTTCTGAGGGTGAGAGAGGTTCATGGGTCCTCTCACAATTTTCACTGTGCAATCAAAATATATGTAAGTTTTACTTTATAAAACTTTCATTTTCTGTTATTTCTTCTACTTTTTTTCTCCTTATTAGCAGGAAATGATCTGCTACATGAAATAATTACATGAAATAATTGATTTGCGTCATTGTGCCTGTCGAGCTTTGCTTATAAACATGAAGTGTTACACATGGCTGAATTGTCACGTTGAAAAGAAAACTGGCCTGGGCGAAATCCACCGCCTACCCAACAGCTCTCGGCAGGTATTTGTGTGTGTGTGTGTGTGTGTGTGTGTGTGTGTGTGTGTGTGTGTGTGTGCATGTTCTTATACAGTGTCTGACAAAGTTTGGATTGTTCAACTGCATGCTGTTTCCTCTGCAGAGAGTTAAAGTTAACAGAAACATGAAATATGTCTACCCTTAGAGGTCTGGTGTGTAATATTTAGGAGTATCTATTAGCAGAAATGGAATATAATATTCATGTTTTGAAGTTTATAATCACCTGAAAATAAGAATCGTTGTATTTTTGTTACCTTAGAATGTAGTTTGAGTAAACACACTGGTGTCAAAAGACATTTCAATAAATTAGGTAATTTATTGATAGAATTGCTTTTCTGATTGATGCTTCCCCAGATACATGAAGTGCTCCGTATGAAACTACAACCCCCCTATATTTCCAGGTACTGCCCATTGAACTCCAACACACAACTTCAACTAAAAGCAAATGTAATTTATCCCAGATGAGACTGACGTCTGTTTGATGAAGAATGGGATTGCTCCTTGTAGAGTGCCTTTGAAAGCCAAACATATCTAATTGCTCCTCTTTCAGAAGAACCATTTTCTCCACCAAAAGAAGAAAAACAAAAGCCAATAAATTGTCTGTATGTGAGGCTTCAGCAGCTTCAGTTCACCATGGCAACAGTGTTTTATCTAGATAGGAGAAGAATCAATTCAGACCTGAAGGTTGAGGGACAGCAAAGCCTGGAAACATCTTGGGGATGACTAATGTTTCAAACTCAGGGCAAAAGGTGTTTTGTTTCACAAATGATCGGTTTGTAGATGACAGTGTTTTGCAAACATACACCTACAGTTGGCTCTTGTAATTAACAGATTATTTCATTATTTATGACACATCAGGAGAAGCATCAGGCAGGTTAATATCCTCTACTTGAAATAGACAAACAGTTATTTGCACATGAATGTCACAGATTAGAGTTTTTTTATTTTAAATAACTTAACTGTTCCCATTAAGATAAAACAGCCCCTATTTTCTACACAAAACGTTTTGTTTACCGCAGTTTATGAATATTGTTGCTGTTATGAAAGATAAACATTCACATTATTGGAGACACTCATATTTATTTTCTGGCTGAGAGATAGATGAGAAGAATGATAACAATCACAACAGTAGAAGAAGCTACAGCCAGCATCTAGTTATCTTAGCAAAGCATAAAGACTGGGAACAGGAGGAAACAGCAAGGCTGGCACTGTCCAAAATGAACAAACCCACTTACCACCACCTCACAAAAAAAACATGTTATATCTTGTTTGTTGAAACAAAAACCAGAGTAAACAACCAGTTGTTTAGTCTTTGTGCAAACGCCACAGTCAAAACTTTAAAATGCACCGCAACTGCTGAAATATATTACAAATAAAAATATTGCACAATTTCTTATAGACACATTCATAGACACTTATGTAGCAGTAGTCCTTAGTAATATTAGTAGCACTTTCGCTGGATGTCTGAACGCTGCCACCCAATAATTATGGTGCAGGTGTATCACTGATATCAGCTGGGTGACAACAATTAAAAAGCTCAACGTGCTACACTAAGCCAGCAGTAGCATGGTTTACTAAGCTAAGCTAACCAGCTCCTGGTAATACCTACATAATGACTGTACAGGCATGAGAGTGATATCAAACCTCTCATCTAACTCTGGGCAAGAAAGTGAATCATATTTCCCTAAATGTCAAACTATTCCTTTAAGGATTCATAGAGATAAACTCTGTGCATTTCTACATGTATGGTCATATAGAATGTACCATTATATGAGTGTGCCATTGACATATTAGGCCTAAATGACTAAAGGTTATATATTTTGTTTTCTAACAGTGAGGGTAAACACATGTTACATGCACACACACACACGGACACACAGACACAAACACACACTGCACTTAAACACTCACATTTATTGAAAAGATCTATTGCCTGCTCGCCTGTCTCTTGATCTCCAAAGAGCCTTAATCAATCTGTGGTGTCGCTCTACGAGAGCAAATAAATCCAGTCTCTGTGTTCTGTCCTTAGTAACTAATCTGTAGTGTGTATCTGCTCTCAGCGGGGTCTCCTCAGGTCATGTTCTCTTGCCTCTTAACTGCCTCTCCTGCTCCAGTAGCTTGGTTTACCAAGTCAAAAGTCCTGGGGCTGGGAATCTATTGTTTTTCTGACTCTGTGGAGCAGCAGGTTAAAGAAGCACATTTTATATTCTCATGCATACAACATACATTGAATTTAATGCAGTTACCTGTGTTGCATGCGTCGGTTTTTACTTTCTTCAGTTTGAGCCTTGTGTTTAGGTTTCTTTTAATGGCTTTGTTTCTAATAACCACCTTTGCAGTTATGAAAACCACACATGAAAACGTAATTGTGCAACACAATACCTGCACATGCCCTTGCTTGCTAGGCTTAGGATATTTATATTTACCGCAATTTTATCTCAGTGGCTCATCTCTTGCACTTAAATGTAAAGTATCCACTGAATGTTGTACCACTCATACACAAGACTTTATCAGATCTTCCGAATTTGGATGGTAATATCTGATGAAATGCATACCAATAAAGTGGCAAAGAAAACAAAACAGACCATTCGTTACTGTTTACTTAACACCCACTTGAGCATAATCTGGCCGTAATTTGAGACTTGCACCACCGAGCAGAGAAATTACAAAGCACATTCAGCAGTTTTGTGGTCACCTTTACTTGACCTGGCGTTTGTACATGCGGGGTGCCCGCTCTACCAGGTGAGATACTGTGGCAACACTGTGGTTTGCCTGAAGGACTGCATGCCTGAACATCTCTGAAGGCAGCAACAATTGCAGTGACGTACAGTGAGGAGTATACAGATGTCTGAACTTGTATAACAAAATAAACTTATCACAGACACACAGTCTCACCATACATGAGCCAACACATCTAGTCAGAAGAGCCGGTGTTCACACATTAACAGTGCTCACTTAGTTCTTTTGTAGGAGGGGTTTATATGACATATTATCACAAAGCATACCTGCATGAAATGTGTTATATTTTACACTTTTATTGAGAATAATTACAAAGCAGATTTTAAAAACCAAACATCCCTCAATATACTATACAACATTTTGTATAGATCAACAGTAGCTGAATTTCAAAAACATCTTGGAAAATGGTAAACAAAACAAAAAAAGATAATCATACAATCAATCAATTTATTATAATCATTGTGTCCCTAATCTGTTTATTTGATCCCTGTATTGTAGATTTTAGATGTGCCTGTTGCCCTTCAGTTAACTGATAAGCCACTCACATAAATCATGTCTGCATAAAGGATCTTAAATCCTTTTTTTTTCTTTTGTTGCCTAAGTACTAAAGTGGGCACGTTTCCTCTCCTTCGGTGAACATGTATTTGGAATGAATTTAGAGTACTGAATGGACCTCTCCTCTACATTTACACAATGCAAGAGTTGAGTAAAAGCAGTAAATCAGTTAGGATTCTTGTATGTGAAGACTGCCTCCCTCTGGCCACCAGGATGAAGTGAAGGTTTAATACCACAAGTGAAACAAGATTGAATATGAAATATGAAATAGGTTAACTGTAAATCGTTTAATCAGTGAAAGTTCTCTCTCCTCTCAAAGTTCACACTCATTGCATAATATCATTGAATAATATCAGTGACTGACATTCTGAATTAAAACATGCTCTCCCTCTCAAGCACACACACTCTTAGACTGCACATACACTAAATGCTGATCTGTGCCTGCGTTGGATAAAACATAAAGTCTAGAACACCTAATCCCCAATAATTCCCTGCTTCAATCATTGGCTCATTTTCATTTCTGTTTTTATTATTTTCATATTTCAACTTTTCCAAATGCTGTCTAACAAAATCATCTACCCGTTGGTTTCCTTTATTTCATAAATTTCACCACCATGATTTCCACCATTATACAGATCCATTGCACTCTCACCATGCTTCCTGATGACTCCAGTGCCTTAACCATAGGTAGCTCTTGAGCGTGCAGATTCTTCCCGACAGAAGGTATCCACAGTGAGCATCTGTAGGGCTCGCTTTTTCCTTTCTGGACATCTATTGTACTCATGACATCGTACCGTCCATACTGGTCCTCCTCTTCCTGTGTGATGGCAGAGTCTGTTAAGTTAACATCTCCCTGGAACCAGTGGACGGTGCCACTGGGGTAAACTCCCCTGAACTGGCACGTAGCATGAGTCTTTTGGATGTAGGACTTAGAATTTTCAAAGCAGTCTGTAAAGATCAAAGACTTTTAGAAAGATAAAAGAAGACAGCAATAAATAAAAAGAAAATATTAAATATTAAAAGTCATCTCACCTTGTACTGTAACTAAAGTTTTGGCAAAACCTACACCCACTTTGGAACGTAGTTTGCAGAAGTACTCTCCCTGGTCGACTGGCATCACATTTAGTAGAGTCATACTGAGTCTGTGGTTGGGAGTGTCTTCCGTGCTTTCACACAGAACCTCAGGGTCAAGCTGACTGTCCTCGTATGTACACAATTTATTTCCACGCACCCAGGAAAATAATTTAATATCCAACTGGCTTTGCATGGTGACCCCACATGGCAGTGTCACATTTTCTCCGCACTGTGCCACCACCTCGGAAACGGTCTGCAGGGGCACATCTTCACTGACTGAATTATCAGAGAGAGGGATGACGAGGTTAAAGAACATAAGCTCATATATATTATTTGGTATAATCATTCTGTGAGTAATAATCTGTAGGTATTCAGTTTCTGAGTTACACGTGATTTAGATTTGGGGCCACTTTAGTTGGGTAAAATAGTTTTAGGGTTATCTCAAAGGAATAGTAGCCTTTTTTGGAAATACTCTTATTCACTTTATTGCCAAAAGTTAGATAATAAGATATCTTATACCACTCTCATGCCTGTACGATATGCAGCCAGTTAGCTTAGGTTAACACAAAAACTGGAAATGGGGAAGCAATCCACCTACCAGCACATAACAAACTCACAACTTGACACACGATACCTTGTTTGTTTTACTGTAAAAGCAACTTAGGTAGATTAAAGTTTTGCAGCTGAGTGCCGCCTTCAAAGATATATTAGTAATTATATAGTTATTAAAAAGTAATATGTTAGTTAGTTAGATAAGCTTAATAAGTTAAAACATTAAAAACGTCTCTTTTTTTTGCATTGGTTCATGTTATGTGCTGCCAACAGGTCAGGGTCCATTCTTCAGTTGAACACAGACAAGCAGGATGGACAGTGCTGGATACATGTTGCTGCTGAACATATTTCTGACACACTTCTGCCTTGGAGACTATTTGTAAGTTATATGTGTAAATACTTTTAAAACTTCATTCAAAACACTTTGTCACACAATGTCATGAAACCTTTCTATTGTTAACACGTGCTCTGTTAGCTAGCAGTTACAGACTGACTTTGTCACATGTAGCTGTTGTGGGGAGCTGTGTTTTTTAGGAATTTGAATTCACAACGTTATATAGGATTTATGTTTTTTTTTCTGTAATGTTTCAGTTTTACAAACAAAAGCAAGGATCCAAAAGAGGAACACAACAATTCTTGTTTTCAGTACACACTTGTCCTTTAAGAGCTACAACATGTCTTTTTTCTTACATCATAAAAAAGTGTACAACCATAATACAATAATATGCACCAACGCCGTGCATGAGCTGCAACCTTTAACACTAACTTACAAAAAATGTTCTGATAAACATGTCTTTTCATGCACAAAACAAAGCCTCACCAGCGATCCTGACTGCCGAAATGAACCAGATGATGGAAACCCAGCCATAAACATGCCGTGCCCTCACACCAGAGTAGAAACTCATCACTTTGATCTGTATTAAAATCAATATTTATCTCATTAGATGAGTCAGATGAAAGCAAAACCTGGTGAACTACTACATGAGGTAAAACAAGCTGTCTGTACTCACCATGGCGCTCTCATAAATGTCTTTCATCCACTGTAGCTTTCTCTGGTGCTTCTGTTTGGGTTTGGCTTCATTTAATGTGTTGGAGCTCTAGAGGATGTGTTGTGTGGAAGAACACTCAGCGAGCACATCCTCTGCATTTGAAAAGAAACTCCAGATCGTGTGGTGTCAGGTTTTCACTCGAGCATGAGTAGACATGCCCTAGAAGGAATTACTGTTGAGAAACATGAGGAAGAGAGGATTGTTTTGTTTCATGCCATCATTTAAGCCCCCATGAAGATAAAATAACTGAAGGGTTATTTTTTCCCAACACTCCAATTCATACAGATTGGGGTTTTTTTTGTTGAAAATTGTCTCTACTTTCATGTTTTATACATATGTTTATGTATATCTTTTTAAGCTTACACTTAATTCTGGCTCACAAAAATATTAGTTATTCTATTTGACTATTATTTTTTGCTATAAAAAGTCATAAAACAACATTTTTTAGCAAATATACAGTCTATTATCAAACAATTACTAATCTGATATGTTTAATACTTAATTAGTAACTTGGATTTAACAAGTTTTGTTCCCCTTTACTCCAAAGAGCAATCTGTTCACCATGTAGTCTTAACGATTCTGTGTCTCCGTATTTTAAACCCAGAGGCTACATGAATATTTTTAAAGGTTTTAAAGGTTTTCCAGGTCGGTGTTGTTGTTTCCATCTGAATCTGACCCTTGCCCTAGACAATGAGCTGTGTCTGTGCCCTCCTTTGGTAGGTTCAGGAAATGAGAAACTGAGAATACGAGTTCAGCAGTTTCAAATAAAAATGCCAAACTAGAAGTCTGGAAAATAAGAGCCTTATATTTTATTGAGAATGGGGTGGTTTTAGTGTTTAAGATGACTGTAACAGGTTCAGGATAATCATTCATATCTAAATGCTTCTTTTTAATCAGTTCTAATTAGAGCCTCTCTGAATCTTTTAGATAGATTTACTCTCTATCGATTACAGATTACAACTCATAGCAACATTTAACGTGGTTTGAGCTTAAATTGCTGTCCTCACTAAAGGAACAAACGAAACAGACATCATAGTTTCTGACGGTTCTCTTAGTCACATTGAAAACAGCCCGTTTATTGGTTTAAAGTGTCATTTTTAAAAGGCACTTATCTCTGGAAGGAGATGTGACTCCACTTCAGGGCAATGCTGGGAAAAATGGAGCGAAGCCTGCGAGCTAGTTCAGACAGGTCAACTCAAGCTGTTCTGATTACACACATGACCTTCCTTATTCCATAATCAATAACCAAGCGCTCCCTTCCAATCTGGCGGTCTATTTAAACTGCACAATTTCCCAGGTCTCCCTCTGCTCTGTCAATGCCGCTGTTGCCTTGCATCCGTATTGCTGCCTGTTGCGTCGTAAACTTTCTGGGCCATCTTCTGCTACCTGTGAGACCGCTCAACCTGTCTGCTGCCTGCTGACGTCACACCCCACAGGATTCTGGGAACTGTAGTCCCAGCTCCAACAATGAGCTCTGGGTTCCTGCAACCCTGCAGTAGCAATTCCTGACTCCCTCAGGAGTCAAATTCTAACAGGTAATCTGTTTCTCACTCAGCAATTAATAAAATAATACATTCACATGAACAAGTATATATTGACAGGCTTATGGAAGTTATAGAGAAATAGATGGGGAAGGAAATAAACAACAAATAAATAAATAAAAGAAATATTGATAATGGATTGTTGATGGTAGTAATGATGATGATTGCAATGTAATGGTTATTAAGATAATAATTATAATTGTGGCTATTATTAGCATTATTATTATTATTCAATGTGGTTCTGATATGCTTACAAAAGATTTGCGAATTGTGGAGATTTCCCATAGGAGGATGTCAGAACTCGGTGTCTCTTTGGCGTCTTTAGAAACTCCATATGCAAAGTTGTGTGCAACGTAGAGAGGAGCTTGATACTTTGGCTGTAATATCAGTACTTGTCCTTCTATGGTGGCTCTCTTTTAGGAGTATCGTGAGTCCTTCTCTGCCAAAGCTGCAATGTACATTCAGATTCAGTCAAAACTAGATGGGGTGTATATAGTTGTCCTGCCATTATCGGTAGACATTTTACAGGTTATAAATCACTAGTCTGCTATCTTTGGAGCAAACTGCAGAGATGTCTCGATGCTGGGACAAGACCTCTTTGAGGGTCTGAGTATCAGAAGCTTTTCCAGGAGTTAGGAGTACCGCTTTCCAAGAAACTGTAGACCCTTCGCGCGTTTGGGATTTCTTCGCATAACCCTTGATAGTGTGTTCATGCAAGCGTCTCTGCAACAAGACAAGCTGTCTCTCGCATCAGAACAGCCATCAAATCCGGTCTGTCGCCCCATTCTCTCTAGAAGAGTTTCTCTAACTTCGCATGTGCTTTCTCCCTCAAGGTCATCCATATCACGTTGCTGGGTCTGGCTAAAATCTGTTAAAATGTTAAGATACCGCATATTAGACTAAGGCTGTTGCACAGATATGCGGTTCTAGTCTTTGCTATTTGATGATGGACCAGCATTTCTTTTAAATGACTAAAAGGAATATGCAGATTCCCCCTAGTTTTCACTTTTCTCTGGTTTTGGGGGGTTCTCACAATGAGTGGTTTGCAGACGACAGAAATTCAGTCCCTTAAACAGTTCTACATTCACTGCTCTTTATGAACTCTACCCAATTGTCGTTTGGGGCAGCAGATGGTCCCAGAAATATTATGGCGTTTTGGGAGCTGCCATAGTGGAAATAATTTACAGTTTTTGCATTTATTGTTTTACTTGATCCTAACCTCCTCAAATGCAAGTATCAAAGCTATGCTAGCAGGAATCTTCTGGGAAATCCTTCCATTCAGCTGCTCCTCAAGGCAACGATAAGACTCCTCACACAATTCACTGGTGCATTAAGTGTTTTCATTTATATTGATATGTTGGAAGAAGTTCTGTTAATGGCTTTTACGGGTTTCTCAGGTATGAATATGCATGCAGATCTCATCTTAATCCTCAGCATAATCTTCCCTTCTCTGATTTAACCTTAGAAGATCACATCACATGTACTCAATATTCTAGACACACTCATAATCTGATAGATCTCACCAAGACACTCAAATTTCATTGCTATGACTAACACTACATTTTGTCCTTTCTCTTCTATGATGAAATCCCTGCATCATTGCTCCAACCCATCGGTTGGCTCCCTTGTTCATTGTCGTTGGTTGCAACCCATGGCGAGATCCCGGTTCTGCTTAAGCTGTGTGATGTCTGCTGAGCTGTGGCCTAACGCGAACGCTGTCCCTTCACCATCTAAGATGCTCAGCTACAATCACAGCTGTCCATCTGCCCGCATCAACCAATCTACCAAGGCTAATGTCAGGCTCCACAAGAAGGGATTTTGGCCATGCAAACTTATGAGCTCCTGCTCCCCTTAATGCATTTAAAATGTTTATCTGCTGACACCCCAACTGGTCGAGGCAGACGACCACCCACCTGGAGCCGAAGGGTCTGTCCTAGGTTTCTGCCTGTTAAAAGGCAGTTTTTCCTTGCCCCCGTCGCCAAGTGCTTGCTCATGATGGTACTGTTGGGTCTCTGTAAACAATGTTATAAGGAGTCGGTCTAGACCTTCTCTATTTGAGAGTGTCCTGAGATAACTTCTGTTATGAATTGGTGCTATACAAATTGAATTGATTAATCATATATTTGCATATCAGATAGTTGCTGGGTTTAGACTATCTATATCTTTGCTATATGGGAAATGTTCCTGCATAATACTTTGCTAAGTAGTATATTCCCTCATGGCTTGAGGTGCTCATAAGGAATAGCCACACGGCAAAACCCACACATTGCAGTCCACTAGATAGTGTATTCTGCTGGGGCCATGGTGCTTCAGGGGAATGGCCACACCGCGGCGGTGTAAGGTCCACACATAGAAGATTGTTTCACTGATGGTGTCAGGATCCCTTCCGTGTTGTTTTGGGGGGTTAAGGTATTTGCGCATCACTCCCCAATATCTCATGTAAACATATCTGCGGGGAGTGATGAGGTCGGAGCCTAGACGCCAAAATGTAAATATGCTATACTGTTTAATAAATATTCCACGTGAGTTGGCTGACTGAACTGAGGGTTTCGCTGACTTAACAGCAGTTTTGGCAAAGAAGCAAGATGGCCTTTGAGTTTGTTAGATTAAATTTTTAAAACAGTCAATCTCCTCTGTTATCCAGAGATTGTCTGTTATTTGTTCAAGAATGAGTTTTGCTGGGGTTTTTCTTCAGAGAGGAATGATACAATTGTAAGAGTTTTAGCTGAGTTTTGTTGAGCTGTCACAGCTTGGCCTGGATTGTGACTGTAACGCCAAAAGGAGAAACAGTGTAGGTTATAATTAAATTAATAAAATACAAGAATAATAGGCTGGTTTCCAAAGTCCTGTTTCTACACTACAAATTATTGTGTTGTCTTGCTAACAGCAAATCAGTTTTCCTGTAAATAATTGATGTGAAACATTTTAGGACTTAGTGGATAAATCGCAGCAACAGTTGCATTAAGATATATTGATTGTACTTTACTTTCACCCTCTACATTTTAAAACCACAGACATGTTCTCCAGTTGCACAATAAGCAGCATAGAGGAGCTGTACTGTGAGGAGAAGATGGATGTGATTAAAAGGATAAAAGCAAGTAATCTGCTTGTGTTCTCTAGAAAATGGAGGCTAATACAATAGGAAAGATATCTGCCCAGACATCTCCAAATACCACAGTGATCTTGCAAGAGAGGAAGTTACAAGTCACAACAAGATAAGTGCGTAGTTAAATTTTGAAATCAAGTTTTTATCTGAAGAGCTAAGGCACCATTTACACCTGTTATTAACATGTGATTTGTATCTGGATATGTTCGGATTTTAACATGTAATTATTAAGCTTTTGCAGGGTTTATTGAGTGACCTTTCAACATGTTCTCTAAATGTGCTCTAGCTGATCCAGTCACATCCATTCACATTCCAGTCCCAGTATGTTATCCATGCATTTACACCTGGCATACCCTGCCTCTCACCCAAAGTTAGCTGGTATTGACCTCAGCCCCCAGCCTGCCTAAAGGATAAACAGTTAATAACAGACAATGGATTCATATGCATTTTTCCATAATCAGATACCATATTGTGATATATGTTATATATATGTATTTAAATGCCAGGTGTAAATGAGGTAATGCTTGGCTTGACTGATCTGATTGCGATCACAATGCACTCTGAACTCTGCATATATTTTCATTTAAAGAAAACTGGCAAGAGTAGGCAGATTAACTCCCAACAGGTTGAGTCAGGCACAAGTGAAACCTTGACACACACTGGCAAACAACACCCAGTCAGTCAGCCAGACAATAATTAGAGATGTGGAGCAGCTGGAAAATCAGGCAGCAGGTCAGGGCGGATTAGTGAGTCACATATGTGCACAGGTGAAGAATTGAGTCACAACAAAGACAGACTGCAACCGAGGAAAGTGAAAACAAAAGGAACACAAAGGTTACCAGATTATATTTTCAGATACGTGCAAGGGTTGAAAAGCAGTGCTGCTCAGTTCTGTTAGTGTTTGGTTATTGTCAATCCGTTTTCCCTCGGGTGGAAGACAGACAAGAGGAGCAGAAAACTAATTCTGTAGTGGAGGGAGAAGAGTGATCAGCTCTGAACCTCCAGGAGAAGTTTTTGTGTCTTTGATGTGTCAGATCAGATCTGTGCAAAAGAACTGCTGAGCAGTCTGCCAGCTCTGGTCTGCAACATGAATGAAACTGCTTTGTATATCCACTGTGTGGCACAGCAGGAAGGCTGGACAAGCGCAGGGGCAGTTTTACAAACCATATATTTTTACAAACGCTATTTATTTTATTTGTTAGAGTCAGCTGCCAGTCAACTGTGAGTTGCACTGTAACATTAAAAGATCATTGTTCTGAGGAAGGTCTAAGGTATTTGACATATGATTAACACCTGAATGAATGCAACTGTTCTTCTCTTTACTTGATGGTATACAAGGCAAGTTTAATTAGCAACTCTCAATATTTTAGAAGAATCTGTCTTTATAGAGATTATGCAAGTGATGATCAACCTCTATACCTATCTATATATCTATAGATAAATATGTGGCTGAATTTGTAGACTGTCAACTAGGTTACACTTTACTTGGGATTCCAAATGACAATCACATGTTAACTGGATAACCAGTTAGTGATATTTGACTTTATGTTTACATACTGTATACTGTATATGGGATACGAATGCACTACATGGGCAAGGCTGTTTTAACTTTACACGTCTTGCAAACTTGAACATATTGGTTGGTGTTTTTCTTTTGTGTGTGTGTGTGTGTGTGTTTTTTGCCTTCCCACTATGGTATAAATCACAAGACACTGTTTGCAGCACAGAGGCTTTTATCTTCTTTTGATATTTCCTCAACTTTGAGATTAAACACTATGTGATGGCAGGAAAACAGTGTTTAAAGAGTTTGTGGCCCATCCACTGTGCAGTGACTTTGAAGATTTTTCTCTGGACATCTTCCTCCCTTAACACTTTGGGACAGATGCTGCACACCCCAAGGGCTAACCCTCCATCCTAATTGGATACAAGGCTCCAGCTTCTCTCATCACTTGCCACTTGCTCGACAAACTGTCCTCTACAGAGATGGCTGCCAGTGCAAAGAATATCCTCAAGTAAGACTTTGTTTACTTCTCCTCTAAATACTTTCAACGGCTCATTATTCAAAATCATTAACTGCTATGTAGCTTATTAATACAGCTGTCAGATGAATGTAGTACCAGGTGCAGAATTTCTCTCTGAATGTAATGGGTGAAACTATAATGTTTGAAAGGCTGTGATACCTGGCCAGCAGTCAGCCTGAAACATGAATCCAGCTTTTCTGAAATGTTTGCCTTTCACTCAGCTTTGATCTGTTTATATACACCAACCTCTGAAAAAAAAGTGAGCTCACACCTGGATTTAGAAGTCCCACATTTCAACAGATGCACCTCTTTTCACGCTGTGTGGTGTGGTGTGAAGGTGACAAATAAAAACTCTGAAAGTGACTTGTGAGACGCTGCTCTGCAGTAGGGCTGCTCAATGTGGTAAAAAAAGATCCCATTGCGATTCATTTGACAGATATTGCAATTGCAATTCACGATTATGTAGAAATGATAATGTTTGCATCACAAATTGAATTTTCATCCCAAAAAATAGTAATAAAATCATGATGATGTGAAGTTTTTGGGGTTCTGTATCAAACAAACATGTTTCATTAAATCTGGATTTATACACCAGGGCACCTCTGCAGCACTACAGTACTTCATTATAATGCTCTTTGTCACACATTTTACCTAAAACATTAAAGCTCTTGCGATTTTCATGTTGCACTTGGCCATATTGCGATTTTGATAATATTTACCTACTCTGCAGGTACTGTCACTCACACAGGATATATACAAGTACACCTACTATGAAACTGTGTTGTTTGAAGAGTACATTTAAGTATTAATCTAAGTATGCTGGTATATATTTTGTTACATTAATATTTTAGTGTCAAAAGTCTCTGCAGAGAGAGGACTTGATCATAAAGATTCATAGATGTCTCTGTTGGACCCTGGAGTTTGTGGAATGTCACACATCTTTTGGTTGCTATGACACGCATAACCATTTAGATTTTAATGCCTCTGAACCTTGATGGAGCTGTATAAATGAACATTAAGACTATTGCACCAATATCAGAGCATCACAAGTGCCGTGCCATCACTTTCAGTTACGTTAATGGCTGTTATGAACATTTACAGCAATGTAAAGCAGGTGATCTATCAGTGAGCAGGCAGAGACGTGCTGATGACTCCTCTGTGAGAAATAACTCATCATGTGTAGCTGGGGAATGTGGCATGCTGGAGAGAGGGGAATGAAGAATTTAAATAAAATCTTGTCTTTCAAGTGTCCACGGTTAGAGTCAGTCAGGGCCAAAAAGTCAGAGCGGCTCAGTGTGGAACTGGCATTTAATTGCAGTTTTAAAAGAATGGCACTGAAACATGTTGAATGATGTGGTTCTGCAGCTGCTTAGAGGAATGAAAGACAAAGTCAAAACAGGGTGTGCCTAAGCAGCCTATACAGTCAGTTTGTTCAATTGTTTTAGGTTTAGCAGCTTTTTCAATGCAACTGAATCACCTTGCCCTCAGGTGTTTGAAGAAATTCATATTTTGTTGAGTGAATTCACTAAGATTAGATTAACTCATCTATGCAATTAACAACAAGTACTGTAAAAATCTACAAAAAAGCAATTAAAACAAATAAAGATAGCTTCTTACTGCAGGGGATACGCTACTTATACAGTTGCCTGAGGGTACATGTAGACTGTGGGGTATTTGAAAAAAAAGAAGAAATTATCTGGTGAAATAGTTAGATAAAGAAACAGGTAAATGGTAGAAATAGCTAGTTAGTTAGCTAAAAGTACAACAGTTACTCTGCTCTCTGTTAGACATTTACGATAACTAATATGGCATACAAACTACTAACATTGTGCTGTAAAAAGACCATACTCCTTATAAAATCAAGTCCAGAGAAGGGCACTGGAGACAGGAGCTTTTGAATATACTTAAATACGTTATTTGTCTTTGAGCTTCTCTGAGTGAGGCTCAGCAAAGAACTAAAGTTATGTGGGCTGATGTACTGAGAACTGCCCTGTTTAGGATTCAGTCCCTGATTCTCTTCCACATTCCTGGCAGACAAACGATAGTTAAAAACACAAGATTCACTGTGACTGGGAGTTATTTCTACTTTGATCAAAACTACAATGCTCATGTGTTACATTCGTAACACATGTGTTTTCCACTTCTGCTTTTCTCAGATGTATATTTTCCCCGTTGAATACAAATATGATGTTTAGTATCAAGGCAGTACTTTTAAGAGTTCTTTGTCCTTAGGCGTTTGCTTCTGTGAATGCTCAGTAAAGCAGGGGGAGTCCAAATCAAACAGTGGGAAGGAGAAAGACACTGCAGTGGAAGGAGATGAGAGGGAGCGAGAGAGGGAGAGAGAGGGAGAGAGAGAGAGAGAGAGAGAGAGAGAGAGAGAGAGAGAGAGAGACTAAAACAGTGAGGCAGTATATGTCAGTATGATAATAAATATTGTAGATTATTGCTGTGCTGGAGAGGTCAACAAGAAGCTGGAAATGATAACTGAAAAAATAAACAAGTAGAATTAGGCTACTCAGGATTGGAGGCAGGCAAGAAAAATAAGAAAAGCGGAAATGAAAAAAGACATGGACATGAAAGAGAAATAAAGATAAAGTTTGAGAGCTATCCTGAGAGGGCGATGCTGGTGTTGATGTATTTGGTTAAACTCTACAGGTGGCACTAGAATCATTGAAAGGGTATGATAGCTTATCTCAGATCCAGTGAACGCTTGCTTATCTTTAGGTGCTTTGCTCATTTGTGCAGCCAAAGGAAAATACTGCTTTTAAATACATGGAATATCTTTATCAATTAGTATATATAGCACACACGGAAATAATCTCTTTTCTTTAACTGATACTGTTGCTGAGGTTTTCTGTCACTCGGTGCTGTAATGAAGCCGTGCAGCCTGTCTGTCCGATGAAGACCACAGTCATGTTGTCGTTTGACAGTAAGTGAATGTGATCTGACCACTGGTGCATTTTTAATCTCAGCCCCGGCTTGTAATGTCAGCTGAGCCTATCTCGCTGGGCTGCAGGCCAAGAGGCAAAAGCAGCAACAGGGAGAGCCAAGGCCCGACATAGTGAAAACAGTTGCCATGGCAACAGAGGATGCTGCTGCCTGCTGTCCATTAGGTGGATGCTGGATGTGGCCCTGGATGCCTTTTTTTTCTGTCAGTCGATGTTCACCCTGTCCCTGATGACTTTACAATGGCGCGCTGGGTATACTGAGGTCAAGCCATTGATTTCTTTTGTCTTCTTTCATTTGTATTTCTAATCAAGACAATGGCCAACAACAATGAAAAGTCCCTTTGTGGTTGTGCTATATTTCCTCAAACTGTTGCTGTATTGTGTCTTAAATTTCACATGAAATGTCCATGTAAATGAAGTTAAACTGATCGGTGAAAAAATCTACCTGATTACTACCTACATTACATTTATTTATTTGTATTTTGTCTCGTTATTCAGTACCTTTTCAAAGCCATAAATATTAGTTATTTTTCCTAGAAAAATAGTGTGTTACCTTTGAATTCAACTCAGTTTATATGTTTTGCACTCCTGTCAGTGTATTCTGTGTTCAGACCGCTGGGTGTCGCTGCTGAGCCGCTGTCAGTCTGCAGATTCCCAGTCGGAGCTGTCCACGGTGCTGAAATGTGTCCTCAAACCTCAAAAATGAATGTAGCCTACAATATTAGGTTTGAAAATGGTGCTAAATGTATTTGTAAGGACGATGATGGATGGTATTGATTGATATTATATAGTTTTGCTGAAATAATCTGCCATTGGATCAGATTTATGCAATCCCAGACAGACCAGAGTTCATATCATGATGAATATTCAGTCACTGAGAAGGATTTATAGCATCTTAGCACCTCTTAGCATTAAGCATTATCACAACCAAGTAACACCTACATTTTTCAATATATACGAACATTTTAACTTATACTAGATTGAGGCTCATTTTTAAAAATTATTGTCTGTCTCTTCATCCATGGTCTGTTTTTCTTTAAATAAACCCAAAATAAATGCTGTTTTCCGGTTTAAGTCATTAGATGGCGCTGTCAGTAAACGAGCCACAGGGAAAAAGCCACTAATACAATGAGGAGAGAGTCAGTCAGTTTCAAGGAATTCAAGGAACTCAACAGTCTTGTGTTACTGCGCTCGATGCCGCTATATTTCCAGGACCATTAACAGGGATACAGTCATAGCTGATTACAGGACAGCCACCTAACTTTTGTTCTAGGCTATTTATTCCTCTGCGGTACCTGAAGGAGGACCACCGACCCGCTGCTGCAGGATTCCCGCTGAAGTTGGAGCACAACGCGGACTGTCGGAGCTGGGAAGTTGCCCGTTTCCCCATCGCACGCTCAGTCAAGCTTCAGGACTGGTTGAAAGTTATGGTTTTAAAGCTGGTTGTCACACAGAGTTGGACAATGTTAAGGAGACCCGGCGCCTTCTGTGTGAGTGGAAAATGATTGCGACCAGCACCGAGCTTTTCATTATGGTGAGGAGATGTCTTCTCACTTTCAAACCATTCAGGTAAGACACCTTTTCAATACGCACTGACGTGTGTAGATTACATTACATCACATTTAAGGCATTTTTCTGTTATTTTTTTGTGTATTCTGCGTCATGAAAAAAACATATAGGTTGATTTTTTTGGTTGAAATTCTTCATGCATAACATGATGTCAGTGTGTGTGAATACAGCAGTGCTTATTCCTCAGCTTCTGTTTTCTGCAAAACCTTGCAAGTTCTTGCATTAACTGGAACAACGCGATGCCCGCTGTGCCATAATTAAGGTTTGCTTACTCAGCTAAAAGTTTCACCACCAGCAGCTGGAAACAAGTGAAAGCAAGTCAAGCGGCTATAAACTCATTAAAACTCCCCAGGTTTGACCAGATAGGTTGTACACAAGCTCAAGGACCCATTAGGATTAAGAAATAAGTCATCATGGTGTCCAGGCCAGTTCCCTGATGTTTTACAGCTTTCTGAGTGAATACAGTGGTGTTACACATTATGCTGGATTTAACATGCCAATGAGCAACTGGCTCGCTCATACTGTCAGTGGATGGTACAGAGAGAATAGGGCTCACTAACTGCAGAATCATTGCTACAATACTTGTGTGCATGCTTCCTGAACATCAAATCCCAGATTTTCAACCTCACCTCACATATTGGATAGATATATGGCTGTATCGCTCACTCAGGCTCTAGCTGAGTGTCTGCAGCCTCCCTGACAGTTTCCTGCCTTTTACAAATTCAACAAAGCAGGCTGTGGTGTGCAGAATGGAAGAGTGACAATCTGTCCTGCTGTCCCCTCCTCTACAAAAGGATTGTTTCCAAACATTTTCTCAGCACGACTCGTGGAGCGTGCCGATGAGCCAGTTTTTGAGCTAATCCGTCCCAGAGCATTTTTTTTTCAAAGCTTGAGAACTTGAGAAACGTTCACTGCGCTATCCAAAATGCAACCACTGGGCAGTAATTTCATGCTTTTATTTTGGATGTTAGCTCACTGAGCACAGTGTGATGCAGAAAGCCCATCCGTGTTGATGGTTCATTTGAGCTGACACAGTCAAGCGAGTACACAATGCTTTTTTGTGGGTTCGTTGGTACAACATGAATTTTGGAAAGTATGTCCTCGCTCCATAAAGCCCCACAAAGCACTTGGAGTTATGTCACCTCTCAGAGCTCGTTTCGAAGTGAACTCCCCTGACACGTTCTTTGTTTCATAGTTTTACTCTTCTACTTTTTTGTCCTCATCTGTCCCGTGCACTTTTTTTCTTTGTGTCTGATGAGCTCTAACCATGTCATGCTCCTGTGTCACTTAATCGCCCCTCGTCTCTGTCTTTCTCCTGCAGGATCTTTGTGGTGGGGATTGGCTTCTTCAGCTTGTGCTTTCTAATGACCTCTCTCGGGGGCCAGTTCTCAGCCAAAAGACCCGGAGATTCCCCCTTCACCGTGCGAGCCGAAGGTAAGCCTGTGGTTACACGTCAGTGCTGCCGGGTCGCCTCTTGCTGCAGTAGCTGTGCCCCTGCGCTGGTAATGAACAGGCTGGGAACATGCTGAGCTCTTCGTGGGGCTTCCTTGATTGCCGCCAGCGGGCTGACAGACCTGCTCACTTTGCTCATCAGGAGTGCGTCAGGGGGTACTGTCACCCCTGAGAAGCTCCTCTCTTCTCTCATCTGCACCTCCATCTCTTTTTACACCTGCTTTCATCTCTGCTCGGTGCCCACATGACCTTGTTCTGACCCATATGAACTCATTTATAGTAGTAGTAATAGTAGACAATTTGTGGAGGCAGAGGTGGGGTTTTTATGTTAGCCTTTGTGAATATGTGTTTGGTTTGTTGACCTTGTATGTGCTCATGTAGGCCAGTGGTTCTCAAACTGTGTGTCAGGCCCTGGTTGGGGGGGAATGGAGGACCTTTTATTTCACTAAAATTCAATTTGGATCCTTTTCTTTATTAGTTTTGGTTCCCCTATCATTGTTAATGATTGCTATTTGTGGAATGGTGGGGCGTGAACTTTTTAGGCTTCTGAAGGGGGACATGTTAGAAAAAGAAACAGAGGGAGTAGTCCACCAGTGGAATTCTTCTTATAAGCTCAAGCAACTCCATTAATAATACTAATGCTATTAATATGCCATGTTTTTAAGACCAGTACCAGAGATGCATTTGTTTCTTAGTGAGAGCACAGCAGAACCAGCTGATTGACAACTCCCTTTAGACAAATCTAATCTCATCTTAAAAGGTGCAAATGGCCACTTAAATGTGTGTAGTTGCTAGCAACACTGACCTTGGCCTCAGAGATCAACAAATCAAAGCCACGGCCAAAACATTTTTCTTTTCTTTTTAAGGAATGCCATCGCTGAGAGAAACTTATCTTTCTCAGCACGTTCTCTGTGTTTGCGCTATGTGCCTCTGCATATAAACCACTACAGCGCTAGCCATTTGGGAGAGTCAGCTTTTGGACTATTGTCTCTCACCTTTTTATCTCCGCCTGGCACAATGTTGACACTGCGTGTCATCCTCTGTGACAGATACCAGCTGGCACAGGCAGAAGCAATGCAATCTATCACAACCCATCCAAGGACACCAGTTGCTTGTATTTGTAAAGTATTACACTGATCTCAATTTATTTCTATTCAAATAAGGCATCAGTAATCATTTCATCCCTGTTGAATAATGCAGTCCGGTCTTTGGAACTGAGCATGTCGCCTTGTGGTTGTTTTTTGTGTAAGATGTAAAGATAGTGTTGGAATATTTTTGACTGACTGACTGTACTCGGTTATTAGAAGCTTTAATATTGGCTTGTCACACCTCCTCAGGAAAACAGTTGTGCAGGAAATGTTGTAGCGAGGTGCATCAGGTGAAATCAAAGGAGACACTTTCAAGGATTTCACCCATTTATGGAGTATATGCAGAGCTGGTTCTGGGTGAAGGAGAGAGAAAGAGAAGAGTGGAAGACAGGATAGCTGTCTGATTAATTAACCACTCACAGGCTGCAGTCAAGGGAAGGCATCTGGCCTCTAGCTCATTAAGCACTGCCTCACCACTAACCAGGGAGAGTCACGCTATGTAAATTCTCACCCTCTGTGTGTGTGAGTACGTGTCTTTGTGTACCTGTGTATGTTTGGGAATGAGGCTTAGCGGTACGGGAAGTTTGTGCAGTATGACTGAGCTAGGATGAACTGTTCAGTGGAGCAGCACCTTGACGACACTGGATTGTACACACCCATCCAACCTCTGCTGCTGGATGCTGTGGAGTGCTACAGGACATATATGCACACACATACACCTGCATTACCTTGTCAGTCTTTACGCCAACATGTGTGTGACATGCATTCGCGCAGGACATGTGAAAATGTCAGTGAGGCAGTGGGAGCACCTTCAAATCCACAGTGTATTGAATCTGAAAGGGTAAACAACATGGCCAGGCTGCGCTGTGAGGAACCATTACCTTGTTTACTGCTCATCTTGTGAATGGCAATAATTGCCTGAAGAGCAAAAGGTGTAAGAAAAATATGTAATTATTGTCTTGCTACCTTCTGTTTCTCTCGCCCCTCACTGCCTGTCTGTCTCCCTCTACCTCTTTCTTTTTTAAATGCTTCTCTCCGGCTCAGTCTCTCTGTCCTGTTTTTGAATTATCTTTGTCAAAAGAAGACTCTTATACTTTTCAGGTTTCCACAGTCAACAACAGGCTCTATTTTCTGCAGGGTTATAGATTTATATGTACTATAGTGTGTAAAAGTGTTTCTGGCTCTACACTCCAGAGCCAGAGACCCAGAATACCCCACAGTTACATTTGGATACTAAGCTATATCCAGATTTAAAATGCATGCAATTCCTTCATTACGTCCCCTTTGAAGGTACAGGAAACTAATGATGTGGAAAAGAAGTGAGGGGGGAACAGAGGGAGACTAGTTCTACCAGAGTGGGAAGCATGAAAGGCAGAAGCATTTGATCCTAGATATCTTAAAGGCTCCAGAGGTGTACTGTAGCTTTCTAATAAGCTCTTTGAAGACCACCTTCACAGTGTGTCCTTTTACCACAGGGGTCTTAATGCAGTTTTGCCACAAAGGGAGAAATAAGCCTAGGATACTTTCAGATTTTACCCTGGTCAGAGCAAGACTAAATGGTTCAGATGTTTATGCATTTACTATTACTACCTGCAAGCTCCATTACCTGAGGGTTTTTCTTCACCTCCAATACCTCTAAGTGACAAATATGTTTTGCTGCAGGCTGACAGAGTATTTGCATCTCTCAAAGAAGGCAGATGGTTTCTTAAATCTTTACCTACTCCCCTGTCCTTGAATCTATATATTTAATCCTTTTTATATTTACTGTGCTAAACGCTTATCGCCACAAAAATGTATTAAAAAATAATAAAGCAACTGCTTACATTTTGGTGGCTGGACTACTACTGAAACTGATTAAATGTAGGAGAAAACCAGCCTTTCCCACAATTTTTTAATCCATCATTGAGCAGAGCATCAGGTGTGCAAGGAGCATGATGTTCAGTATCCTGTTCACTGCGATCCTTTTCACAGACACTGGCAGAACTTTTTTATTTCATGCCTCAGCAGTCTTCACTACGTGATGCATGGAAATGAGTCTTCCCTGACATCGCTCCTCGTAAGGGTACGGCATTTGCAGGTCTATCAATGCTGCACTCTTCAATACTTCGTTTGAATGAAAAATGGGATAAATAATCAGTTTGAGGTACAGCGCTCTCCTCCGGCATATGTAGATGTTATGAACAGAATAAACTGACCTTTGCTACTGACAGAACTTTGGTTTTAGTTTAGAATAACTGTAAATTCATGTGCTGCTGACTGCCTGGCGCTCTACCTGACAAATAAGAGGTGTGAATGAAAGATGGCTGCTCATTGTTCACTCTGTCACAAGCTGCTGTCACCTGGTGGAAAGACCAGTGATTTTCTCTTGGATTGTGGGGTACGACAAAAGGGGTTGTACTGGTTGTTGTTTAGGCCAGGACGGGCAGAGACACTTGAGGAGATTCAACTGTAAACATGTTTTCTGTGTCTCAGATTGCTTTGGTTTTTGCTTTGTGGCATTCAGCATCTTCTTATTTAAGGCATGATTTGAGAATAAATTAAGACTGAGGCTGAACTAGAACATGGTGCTTTTTTTTTTTTTTTTGCTCTTGGCATTGCAATAGACACATTTTAGGCAGAGACTGTTGTCACCACTGCTGCTTATTAGTCTCTTGTAGAATTGACTGTCGGTGTTGGTTTAATTTTGCATGTAGAAGTGTTAGTGTGGACCCATCAGTTGATTAAGTTGTCTCCTGGGGGAAGCAGTGGGAAAAGAAATAGCGCAGATTTGATTACGACTGTTTCTGTAAATTAGCTGCTGCAGCATTATAATCCTTCAGCTGAGTGTGTTCATGCAGTGCGTGTATGCACTTGGACATATACTGTACATGCAGCACACGCAGAAACATAATCATTTTCAACTGTCAACTGATTTCACTGTTAAAAAGAACACCATGTATCAAACATTAAATGACAGAATGTGGTATAAATCAATAAATGTAAGGCTGTAGTGTTTCGGTGTGCGCTGTATAAGAAAACATCACTTTGCTTCTAACTAAATGTGTTGGTCTCCCTCTGCATACTGTGGGGAGGGTCAGGAGAAATAACCAATGAAAAAGGATAGATCAGGTTTTAATTGAATCTACAGAGGTGTTTTCCCCCTTTTCTAGGCTGTCAGGCACAATAAGAGGCTGGAGCTCCTCAGAGGATAAGTGACAGAGGTTTTCAGCTCTAATAGCTTCTTGGATCTGGCAGCTTCCCCCATAGGTGCCAAAAAAGAAGAGAGAAACTCAATCTCAATCAGCCTTTTCGGTAATGAATATTTGAATTAGGAGTGAGAGGACAGGGAAATGTAGGAATTTATCCCGGTGACAGGTGAGATGGAGGGGTCTGACCCTCAGTTTCCACACTAAGAAAACTACTCAGCCAGCAAGCATGCATAGAAGAGATGACAGAATTTATTTATTTGGCTCTCAGTCGTGCCAGTGGGGAGATACATATATATATATATATATATATATATATATACTGCTACAATCAATTGTTTTGTTGATGGATAAGTTGCTAAATATAGAAACAGTGTATTTCCATCTTTGTGAGCTCACTGTAGAATAAAGTTCTAAGAGACGGTATAAAGCTTATCTTTTAATGCATGTTGTTGCTTTCAATTGGGTGTAGTTTGTGCTATCTATGTAATGATATCATGATTTCCACATACTGCTCAACATCTGTATCACACCTATGCCAACTAGTGAAAAATCTACAGCCTTCAAAACATGTAATAACAGCAGAAGGAGATTCTTTTGCCTGCCAACATATAGTTTTTGTTGTATCGGGTGCCTACCTACAGTATCTAAAAGAAGTGTTCAACATTAGATTGACTTATTAGATTTAGTGTCGGAGCTTTTTGTTCTGACTTTTCACTTTGCTGCAGAAATAAGGTGAGACTGCTGCTTTTGTAGCACCTTTATTGCTTCTTTCTTGCATCCATTATTTTGTTGTGCATTTGGCAGTTTTGCATACGTGTGTGTTTGTCTACTTGTTTGCATGTTCTTGGGCTGAGGGCACAGGAGCTTCCCTGGCAAGCGCTGCAGCATTGTCAGAAAAGATTCATTAAAGCAACATGCTTGCAAGTTACACATGCTCTGTAGGTATTCAGGTATTTTATCCTTTTATGCACCTTTTGTTTAACTGATGGGACATACTTTGTGCAGAGATTACGTGCATCATCTGAATCCTGGAGCTGCTGGTGGTAAAATTAGCCCAGCGTTGTGAGACACAATGTTCAGAACCTCCCTCTGAGATAATGTCAAGCCGTGTCTGAATACACACACTGCATGAGGGCCAAGGTGGTAAGATGCGCTGCCACTCTTTCTTTTTTAATTCAATTATTTAAATTCATGCTTTCCACCATGAGCGTTGGCTGGCAGTCTCTTGACAACAAATATGTCTATATATATAGACATATCCTAAGATGATGTTTGGCTGACATGACACAATAACTTTCTTGTGAATCAGATTTTGTTTGTAAAGGATCTAAAAACATCTAAATTACAACCTCCCACTGAATGACTTTGTCAGGGATTTTAATGAAACTGAATCTGTGATGACTAGGAAAGATATTCAGTCTGTTGTGTTGTTTAATAGTGATATGTGAATTCAGTTTTGGGTGGCCATGTCTAAATGAACCAAAGACTGACTGATCAATAAAAGGACTGGCACTTCTCATTGTCTGACTTGGACCTGGAGCACCCGTCAGTTCCTATACTAGTTAATTGGTTCAAGTGAAGGGTGAGCTTTGAAGCTAAACAAAAGTCTAATCTGTCAGTCATGTAAAATACTTTGGCGGCATTGCGTCATTAAAAGGTCTAGTGTGTAACATTCAGTAGGATCTACTGGCAGAAATGGAATAACCTGAGAATAAAAATCATGTTTTTGTTACCTTAGAATGAGACATTTCTATCTAAAAAAGGGGGTGGATCCTCTTCTATGGAGGCTGCCATACATCCTGCAAAGCTCATGAGATCATTAGGAGCAGGCGTGAAAGTGTGTAATCTAAAAAGCCGGAAGCAACACGTGCCATGGAGCTACCAATAGATACCAAACAGAGTAGTTTCAGCCCTGAACTCAATTCATTTTCAGTGTTTACCAAGCACATATATTTTAAGAAGCATTTAGGGACAATAGAAACATGCAATGGCTATTTTGACCACTTTACTGGCTTGTTTCTGCCATATTAAGCTCCCTGAAGGAGGGAGAATGCCCATTCAAGGAAAAACTAACAAAGGAAAAATTTTTCCTGTCCCTGGGCAAATTTTATAATAAATATTTTGTTGAATGCAAGTGGTAGCCTTGTATATTTTGCACAATTGACCGAACATCTTTCTTAATTTGAGCAGTTGCTGCGATTCGTTGATAATAACTTGTAGTGGATGTTTATGTGAATTTATAAACATAAAATAGGATTAGGAGTAATTATGACCATAGAAGCACAAGAAAAATATGAACGCATACATAAAATGTATTCTACATTATGAGTTCCCCTTCACTCCAAAATAAAACAGAGAAAAACCGATGCCGTCTCGCCGCAACTCCCCAGGAATAATGCTCACTGAAAACCATTCAAACAGGCTGACTGGACTGATTTGTTATGAAACGGTGTGGACCATGTGACTGCGTGGTGGAGAAATCTAAGCATGTCGCAGCAGGAAAGGTGGGAACACAGTGAGGGCAACTGCTGAACGGGGAAGGAAGGGCAGAAGAATGACTTGCTTGCAGACAAATAAAAGAGGCAAAATGCTGTGGCCATAACACAAGTTGACCAAGCAGTGTATTGTCTTTGACAAAGTGTTCACAATTAAACTAGTGCATATAGCTAAGCTTAAATTACATTCTTTGTTCTTGTCAGCGAGGTTCAGGACTGAAATGTTGGCGTCGTGTGTAGCCAGTGAGCTTCAAGGGCAGTTGTTTATAGCTGGTTGGTCAGTGTTAAGCAGTGCAGGCTACAGTACAAATGGTGATCTAATTGGAATTTGTTCATAATATTGATTGTGCTGTGGCACTTCCGAAATTGAGTCGTTAAAGGAGATTAGCTGCTTCTAAATCGGCCCTTTATTAACCAGCAGATGAGGAATGACACAGAGGAGGCCCTACATTATCACATAGATACCATCAAGTCCTGCTAGACCACTGTCAGTGTGCCGGACTGTGCATCGGAAAAAAAAACACATTAGCCAATGTTTCCCAAGAGGCAGCAGGAAGCAAGAGTAAAAGCCAGCTTGATGAACAGTTGATTGCAAACATATATACGGCTCAGTTCTAAAAATGTACTCTGTAGGAAGGGTGTTCGGTCTCGGTAATGTTGATTTACGAGCACAACGTGCGCGAGGAGCATTACTGTGAAGAAATGTGTTCTTCCCACACTTTAGCCCAGAGGCGTTGTTTAGATGTATTGCAGCGAGTACACTGTGGCTGATAGAGGAGCCTCTGAACTAAGCAAATATCAGTCCACAAAGATCCTCACAAATAAATGTAATAAATGAACATAAGAATGGTAAAATAATTGTTTTCATAGATTTTGGTGCTCAAGGTTTGGTCTTGCAGTTTCATGCAACAGGCAGAGTTACTTTGACAGTATATATTACCCTCCTTTACTCCTTCCTCAGTCCTATCTCCTTTGCTAGCCTGTATCATTCTTCTTTTAAAATGTATTGATAAACTGCTCTATAGCTGCTATAAACCTGCAAGTCTGAATAGGAATTCATTTAGTCTCTCTCTTGCTGTCTGGAGAACTGTTGAATTATTCAAAGTGAGACGTCTTTAAGCCAGTTTGACTGAAGATATTCTAGGAATGACTGAAACTGTACTAAGCCAAAGCAAAAAATATGTACAGGCAATAAAAAGAAGAGATTTAGTGAAATATCAGGGCTCTCTCTAACACAATTCACTTTTGAGCTGAAGTATACTACTGCAACATTTTCTGTAATTCTTGTTTCTGATGCTGAGTGCTTTTCTTCCTTTTATCAACCTCAGCAACACACATGCACACAGACCAAGAGAAGTGAGAGATTTCTCTCTTCTTCCTTATTTTATTTACTTTCAATGTAATACAATTTCTTCTCAAAGAAAGGTGACTTTCGCCCGGGCAGTGATAAATGAACTCTGACAGGAGAAGTGAGTCTGCACACATTGCAGTTTCTAAAGCCTAATGCAACTGATGAGGGAACACTGAGAAATGAGGCTGTATTTTCACTCAGTCCCCAAGAAAAGAATTATGAGGCTTTTGTTGGTTTCTGCTATTTTTCTCAGGGGTCTAAACCACAAATTTGCTCTCAAGTCCCAAGAGGGGCATTACTTATCTTGATTCTTTGAAATTTCTGAATCAATAACGACTTTTTGCCATTTTCCTCATAAACCCTTTGGTGATTTTGAACTGTGATGCAATTACGTGTTAATAATTGCACTTGGCATCGAGTGTAGAGCTTAGTGTGATCAAAGAAAACAGCGTAGGGTCAAGACTTTGACTAGCAAGCAATACAGTCTGAGACATGCTTTGACCTTATTGTCTGTAGCCGTAGGCTTGTTAATTGACTAGGTGTTCGCTAACAGCATCATTCTGGTTTACTACCAGTCAGGTCGTTAATAATTTGAGCCAAGCGGGGAAACAAAAACCAATACTGTCAGACTAATTTGCCCATTCCTGTGTTTTGCTGGAAAGCTGGCTCCTATTGAGCTGCTGGTGTAGTATTGGAGGACAAAAGAACAAGGATACTAAAGTGATGTTTTAAAGTAAACCAACAATAAAATTGGACTAAATGTAGTTGGATTTAAAATGTAACCTTGAATGCATCAGTGCTACAATAGTGAATTTAAACTGCTTGTACAGTACATCATTTCAGAGCAAAAATTAAATTTAAATCAGAACAGCATGCAGTTTGTTTTGTTCCTATGACCTTGTTTTCTACGTTACATAAAGCCAAATGTATAAAATGTGATTGTACATAGACTGCACTATGTGACTGCACCACGCCATAAAATAGTCAAATTCACACTTTTCCTTTCTAATTTATCACTTCCCCCGTGTCACTTTGCTCTTTTCTCTAGAATGACTTTCTCCCTCCTTTATTTTTCATCTCTAACTCGTTCCATCTATCTCCATGATTTACTTTAGTAATATTTGTCTTATACTATCTGTCTGTGTGTTTTTTAGTGCTTGGTGGCCCAGAATCTCGTGGGGTGCTGAGGAAAATCAGTGACATGCTGGAGGTCATTATGAAGAGGATGGATGCCCTGTCTAAACTGGGTAACACCACAGACACCCACAGGCTGGATGAGCTCAGCTCAGCCCTGGACAGGTACAGCATCTTGGTTTCTAATGGCTGTCAGCTGTGTTTTACATTGGATACAGCTAATGTAGAAGGCAACCTGCTGTCATGTATAGTTGGTTTCTGAGTAAAGCAGCATATTACCTGTACAAACATTAGGAAATTGCTGTGGACTGGTGAAGACTGTATTCTTCTTATAATGACACTCACTGTTTAAGCTCATCTCTGCCTAAGGAGCACTGTAGGTCAGGCATAGTAATTAACACTACAGGTGGTGTGTATTTGGATGAAAATATTTTTAATGTCAGTGTGTACCTCGGGCCCCGCTCAAAGGTGCCACATTCAATTATCGTAAGTATTGAGTTTGTTTGTTGAGCTTTAAAGGTCATTCTTAACCTTGGAAACAACAGTTGACAAAATAATCTCACCACAAATGATTTAAAAATGATCTTTCTCTTGCAGCTACTATATTTATTTCAGACAGTACCGACATATCTTCCCAAATAATAATTTAAGAAATTGTCAACAACTTTATTAGGGACTACAGTAGCCACAGAATACATTAACAAGTGTGGAGGACTAACCTTAGCCAATTAACTGAAAATGGAGAGAGAGGATTGCTTGCCTTTGTCGTGTCTGCGACACCACTGAATTAATCAACATACAGTACAAACATAATCCTATAATAAATGTTACCATGCGTGTCTGGAAACAATTGAAGTTCAGTCTCAAATTGAGAGACATGTCCTTCCTTCTTCCAACTGCAAACACCTCCTTCAAACCCTCTACTTTAGACAGTGTTTTCACCCAATGGAAGAACCAAAGAATTATCACTCTGGGTGACCCATATTTGAAGAGGGCTTTTTCCTGCAAGAGCTGTGGGAGAAATACAATTTGAATACTAATAATTGCTTCAGATATATTCAGGTTTAGAACTATGTGAAAACTTGCATACAAGACTGCACCGTCCAGATACACTTTGGCTATTCAAACAGAGAATGTTTGAATAGCCACTTTAATAAAGAGAAGGTCCTACATTTACAATGTTCTAAAAAACATGTAGAGGTTTGAGGTTTACAAGCATCTGTGGGAGGATGAGCTGGGTCAACAAATCCTGTATTCAGTACATGCTGAATAGTACATATGTAGTCGAATTAATGTACTGGTGATCTGGCTTGTACAGACACGATTCAGTTATTATGAAAGGCCTCTTTTTGGTGAGAGCCAGCCTGCCAAAAGAAGGATTCTTTGTGAACTGGACCCTTTCAATTTTGGTAAAAAACAGCTAGTGTTGGGGGTGGTCACTGAAGTGTTATCAGTGGTGATAGAAAGATGCTGAAATGTGCCGGGAAAGAGCAGCAGCTCAAAGCTGTCAAGGTTGAACTTGAGGTGGTCTGCACAGTATTCTGTTAAGCTCTCCAGCTCAACTTGTGTGCTAAAGGTGAATTTCATTGGCATATTAATGGTAAGATAAAAACATGGAGGCTGAAGAGGACCTGAGAGATACAGTGTGAAGAAAGGAAGCAGGCCAAGTATGGAGCCCTGGGGCATCCCAGTAGTGCAGGTGCATGTTGTGAAAAGAGCCTTTGCTCTGCAGAAACCTGGTGTTGAAGAAGATGATATGTGTTAGAACAAACCGGATTCCTCTCCCTGGGCAGCTAGAGAAATGAAAGAGACTGTCATATTTAAAAAAAGGAAGAGCAGGGGTCTTGCTGGACAAGTTGAAGCTGCTAGCCTGGAGTTGTGGGTTCTCTGTGGTTGCCGTGGCAACAGACCTTTTCCCGAGCCAGCACCTGGTCAGGGTTTGAGGAGAGGAAGCTCCCTCCTGTTTCTGCCTTTGCTGTTGTTTCCCTCCTGGATATCACGTCCTTCCTCCTCACAGTCAGGAAATATCTCTTCTAAAATCCACTTCAATAAACCCTGCACTGTGACACACAACAATGTAACCACCTCTGATAATATATTAAAACGCATTGTAATAACATTTGCAATTTACAGTATGTCCGGCCACTGTGTAACGACTGCCGACTGCAATAATGAACAGTGACAGAAGAGGTGCAGCCCCTCACCTGACCGGACTTTTCAAAACCCTGGGAGGAAATATTTATTGTACTCTGACCAAAACTCTGCATATAATTATTTTATCTGGAGTTTGATATTACACTTATAGAATTTAATTTTCTCTACAAAATGCCCTGCGGATATACTCTCAGTCATATAGTTCTAACAATCATTTAATTAACCTCTGAGGGACTAAACTGGAAATGTAACAGTGACAGAGGCCAAATAGTTCTAAACCAACTTGGGGGTAAAAAAAGCATCTCGTGCTGGCTTCATTTTACGTCACGCAGGTGATTAAAAAGCTTGGTATGGCTCGGGTCAGGGTTGAACCTTGAGATTAGTGTGAGATCTTCCGGCTGGAAAAAACATTGTCCACCTGGTGTTCTCTTAAAAAGCAATTAGGTTGTCCTCGTGCTCTTCAGCAGCTGATAGCCTCTCCTGGGTCAGAGCCCCTGCAGTGTAAATATGGGATGGGCCTGTGCGAGAACACGTCTGGCTGCGTTGTCAGACAGTTTGTGCCAGTGCATAATAATTATTGCTCCGTGTGTGTACTTTACTGTACTTTATGTCAGTGTGGCTGTGTAATTGGCAATTAATTTGTGCTGACTTACTAGTCAAGGATAGAACAGGTGTGGCTACCACTTGTCTCCTGGGCCGACATGGAAAAATGAAATTCGAGTTTAGGATTATGTTAAGTTATGCATATAGGCATAGTTAGATTGCTTTCCCCCTGGCACACACACAGAAATACATGCTGCCTCAATGAAATCTGTTTTACTGCTTTCTCTGCATCCGGCTTAGAACCACTGTTCCATTTCTTTGTGTGAGTTTACTGAGTTTACATATTCAGAGCTGTTTAATGAGAAATGTAAATCCCAGAAATACTACCACATAACAAGAGAAGCTCATTAAAATGATTAATTGAAGTGTGTGTTTTCATGTAAAACAGGGCAATGATACAGTCGTTCCATGAATGAGTGTTGGTTGCATTTAATATAGGCAGCGCACATCATTAAAGTCATGCGTTGAGATGTACTTTTTTCTTCAGTTGCTGCGTCTCAGATGTAATGACAAACGTAAAGTAATTGCAAGCTTTCCTCTAACAAAGTTCAGCTAGCAAGTTTAAAAAAAAAAGATGATCACTTTCTTTCTGAACTAAACACTATGCTTAAATGGAAAGTACCCAAACCTAATTATCACCAAAATAAAAGTCTCCACCCAGTCACTGTTGTTACAACACAACAGCTTGTAGTGTTGAAACAATTAGTTGATTGATTAATTACTCAATCAACAGAACATTATTTGCCAGCAATTTTATTAATCATTTATCAAGCAAAATGTGAAATATTTGCTATATTTTTAAATTGTTAATGAAATTACCTTTGGAGTTCAGACCATTGGTCAGACAAAATGAACAATTTAAAGCAATTTGAGCTCTGGAAAATTGTGGATATTTTTCACAATTGTTTGACGTAAAATAATTGACAGATCAGTATAATCCAAATAACTGTTAGGTGGGGGTATATCTACAGCAATTAGTCAATTCATCTATTATTTGATTAACAGAAAATTTATGAACAACCATTTTGATAATCAAATATTTCATGCAAAAGTCTCTTTGAACATTAAACATTTTCTGTTTTGAGTCTTCTATGAAAGTAAACGGAATATTTCAATATTGGTATTGCTGACATGTTATAGACACTTTCATAGATTATAGTTGCAGTTTAAATGTTTGTTTTTTTTTTTTTTTTTTGGACACTAATAGAAGACAGAGGCGTTTCTCAAAAATATTTCATAATTCACAATTTGCATGAATCCCTTCAATAAATTTCTTTTGAAGGTTTACTGTTGCACAGAAAGATAAACTGTGGTCTTCTCCTTGGGTTTTTGCACCTTGCAGAGCGAGATAATGTGTCATGGTCTTGTTTCTGGTAAGACCGCACATATAGTAGCAGATCTTGGAATATATTTTCATGAAACTAGGCTCTGGGGTAAGATGAAACTTTTACTAAGACTCCCGGGCTGAACAAAGTTTCAGATCATTGCTCAGTCTGTTGCTCAGTCTCACACAGACATGTTACAGATTTCCAGAATCTCTTGCAACTATAATACTGCACTATAATGTATATTGCAAACCCTCCTCTACTCCAATTATTCCCTCTGTGTTTCATACCCCATATGTCCTTCTCCATTGTAAATATTGGTTCCTGATTGTTTTGCCAACAGCTTTTAGGCCACAGAGGTCAAGTGCAGTGAAACACATTTGCTAACAACCTAATTGTCTGCTGTTTTTATTTCCCTCTGGGGACCCGCTTTAATATGCGGAGTTACTTTTTTATCTCAACAAATAAATTATCTGTCAGTGTTTAAAAGCTTTTTCGATTTCACGCCTCAAGTTCTAGACAATTAGCATTTCTTCCACTACTTCACACTCACTGTGAAGGGTGGAAAAACAACAAATACTGCTGGATGGAAGGAAGCTATAAAAGAAATGCAGTGTCCCCTTTCTTTTGAAGGCGCATGATTTTAGTTTGAAGGGAATTACAAAAAGGTTGTTGCCGGAATATTTTTAGATATTCTTCTTCTTGTCCTTCGTGTTTGTGTGACGTGTGTGATCAGGATTCAGCCGATAGGGCTGGTGGAGCGGATTCAGGCCATAGCCCAGAACATGTCTGACATGGCAGTAAGGGTGGAGCAGATCCTCCAGCGCAGCATGGCCAGCAACAGAGGTACACACACACAAACAAACACACACACACAAACACACACACACACACACACACACACACACACACACACACACACACACACACACACACACACCTGGAGAATACCAAATATAGCTGTAGCCCTTCAGATGAATTCCCCTTCCTGTCCATTCCAAATCCTTCCAATCTGAAGACACTTTCCCTCTCTGCCCACATAAGCCCGACTGTCAAGCCTGGATCCAGTGTAACACTTGAATGCACAATTTATGTCTGACGTGCATATGCTAGTTGATCATATAGAACATGACAGACATTATTCACATCACATTACCTGTTCAAATAGCAAGCCGCTGTTTGTGTCAAGGTGTAAGAGCTCCTGTGCAGCACAGTGCTCCTTTATTGTTGCCATATCATAACCACACAAATGCAGGATGTTTAAATCATGATGATGAATTACTGCCTGGACTTAATGGGATCCGGGCTTGTCTACTTTATATTAGCCTTCATTCTCTATTTCTTTATCGGGCACAGAATAGAAATTGGACAGCACAAAATTAATTCTAAATTCAATTCCTCTCCTCTCTATCCACCACATTGCACTTTATGACTGAAAACTACTCAACTCACTGTCTCGTTAAAATGCCGTCCGATAATTTGTATGTTGTCAAAATGTCTGATATCATTTAAAGAAGGCTGTTCTGAACCCGGCTAAGTTTTGACAGTGGCAAGCAGTAGCAGTTTTTCATCGTGAGAGGTCTGTCGTTATCATGCTAATCAGACAGAATGGCTGGCAATTATTTGTCTGTGATTGTGCTCTTCGACGCTTGGCAGGATGCTGGCGGAGGAGCTGCAACTGCTCCTTTAATTAGGCTTACTGGTGCTGGGCTTCAAGGAGAAGAAAGGAGGGGAAAAGGAAGGAGGGGAGAGGCAGAGAGGAAGAGGGAAGAGAGCAGCAGAAAGAGACAGGAGAGATGGAAAAAGAAGGAAAAAGGGAGTAAGGAAGAGGGTGGGGGGGGAGGATTATGTTTTTATGAATCACACTAATGCAATCTATCTATAGTAAATCCAGTGAGTGGGATAGAACAGAGGCTTCAGCCATTCAGCAGGGGAGTCCAAGCATTTACAGGAGCTTGTTAGCTAGCTCTACTCTGTAATTTATCTCTGTTCATCCCAAAGGCAGGAGGATATATGCTGTAATGTAAAAGACAAACAGGCTTAAGGCCCAGGGGAAATGGTGTAAAGTTCTGTTTGATCAGTGACCAATTTAGAAGACCAAAGCTATTGATTATATCTTTTTATACATATCAGTTATATGGAGCTGACTGGTGCATTGCAAAATTTAACCTTACATAAAATCGCATATTGACAGAATTTCTAGATAATGGAATAAAGCAATATAAAAGATACTAAAAACATTGTAGATATTCTGGATATACCTTGCCAGCTTGTGTTTTTTCACCCTCTTCTTTGTATTTGACTTTTAAAGTCTATGTGGTGTCTGAAAAAAATCCAAACAATGCAGCTTTTTTGCTGATTTGTGTGGTCTTGTGTGTATAGGCTTTGATAAATACCCTGCGTTTTCCTTTTCTGCAGTCAGGGATGGCGCATTAGGACAATGTGAGACTCCTAAAGATCCCCGTTATCCAGACTGTCCCAGCAAGATGGATGTAAGTCTTCATATCTCATTTAAGTCCAAACATTTTCACACACACAGAGCAAACATCACATTGTCCTCTCTTGATGACTCACCTTGGTGCAACATAAATTTTGTATAAGATAAGAGGATGTGTAAAGGCTCCTTGTAGAGAGGCAGGTTGTGTAGGCAACAAATTGTGCCAGATGACAACGAGAATATGGAAAAGAATGATAAAACAATATAAGGCTTTATAAATACATTGTTTATATAATTACATTGTATAGCCACAGCAGAAAATTGAAGTGTGTACCTTTTTAATTTATTAGCATAAACAATACAGCATGCCCAACACATGCTTCTTTCTATTTATTTGCCATAGCTCAGAGGTGTGCATTAACTGTTTACCACACATGTACACTAACATGTATAGAAAAACAGTATCACAATCATGTTTATGGATGAAGTAGGTTGCCATACTTATGCAAGTCCCACACCACATGAACACACCACACACGTAATATGTACTAATTAGAGACAGCTCTAGGTTGTGTGGGCTGTACTGGCTGTACTTAAGTGTAACCTCACAGTTTCAGGTGTTTTTATTCAGAACACAGTTCAGGTTCTGTCAGCAGATAACAGAAGGCACCCTACCCTGGAGAAGGATGTTCCTTTAGCTCTCCAAATAAAGAGCGGGACATGCCGTCCTGGATGGAGCTCAGTGAAGTTCTCGCCCTCCCTGAAAGTCGCCACCTTGCAAAAGCCTAATGTTAGTTAAGCCTAATACCAAAACCAGACCTTTTCACTATTTTACTATCCCGCCTACTGCCTCCAGTTGGATGTCCACCACTGCAAAGAACAAGGCATGTGGGAAAATGAGTTGACCTGAACTTTTGAAGACAGCCCTCTCTGTCTTTGACATCTTTATCACGTTTGCCCTGATGGGTGAGCTCGTCATGCTGTTGCTGGCTCCACCTGTGAACGGGAATCCATGAAAACTCAATTATCAGGGGTACCTGACCACAGAGCATCAAAGGTTCATGTAGTCAGCTTAGCCAAGATAACAACTTAGGCATCAAATTGAAGTTGAAGTTAAAATGTGACAGCAAAGTTTTGCACGTTCAGCTTTTGTCAGTTTTAAAATGATGAGAGGACCTAGGGGTGGATAAACCTGCCTCTAATGACACCTTTTTACATATCTAGTCAAATGTAATATTTTGCCAATACCTGAGTAGTAGTAGGAGTACATTTAACATTTTTTAGAGATAACCACTCTTTGCCCCCCAGTGGATGCGCGCTCGTTGGACCTCGGACCCTTGCTATGCCTTTTATGGTGTGGACGGCTCTGATTGCTCCTTCCTTGTCTACCTGAGCGAGGTGGAATGGTTCTGCCCCCCACTGGCCTGGAGGAACCAGACTGTCACACCCACCTTGAAGCCTCTGCCCAAGACACAGGTAACGTGACATTTCCTTATCGTTCGTTTTAATTGCACGATGACACAGTTAGCTGAAGGAGGGTAAATAGGAGCAGAGCACAGGGCAATAGTTTCCTCATAAGCACAAGCAGTCAGGACCAGGTTTCTCACAACTGCTCAGTTTCTAGAGGAGGATCCAGGGAAGGATCCTGAAAAGTATGAAATTCTGACAGTTAATATTTTTGATGGCAGTGCAAAGAGCCAGCCAATGACTCAACTGAGAAGGAACATAGTCGTCTGCACTCTTCACATGGCAGTGAAGGTGTAGCAGTGAGAAGGAATTTGAGTGATGAAAAGCAGAATGCTACACATCAAGGTGCTTTAAAAAACACTGCTACTGTAGATTTTGTAGTTTGATGCTGATGCTACAGAGTTGCTTATTTTCCAAGTTCAGGCGGAGGATTTATAACCTATTTTTTTATGATGATCAATAGCTCCTGGGAGTATCTGAATACCTAACTGCACGCTGTCTGTCACAGGGTGCTGGCTGTCATTCACAGTTTTCATTGCTGTTTGCCTCCCTGCATCATTTAACTTTTAAATTTCAGCACCAGCACATGATGCATTGCACTTACAATCACTCCTCCAGGTTTATCCCAGCGTTCGCCTCTGTCCCCTCCTCCCTCTCTCTCCCCAGAGTAATGTACAGCCGGCACGGCGGCCCCTGATGTGAATTCATTCTTCAGCTCTACCTTCTGCTCTAATTGCCAGCCTGTATTCACTGAGTCTAATCCCAAGGCTTCCCATGGGTACTCTGCATTTTGCTGTGCCGTACACAAGTTGCTCTTGAGAACAATAATTCACCTGCTTTGTGAGAGTACAGTACAGTTCTGCATATTGATTTTGCCTTTGAGAGAGTGAGAGTTTCTTTTATAGGGTCAGTGTGTTTGAGAGCGACAGTTTGTGTTCTTGTGCATCAGTTTCTTCTCTGTACTTTTATAAGTCCTTTGTGCTCCCCCATGCAGTTACTCCATTGATTAATGCATGCTGGTATTGCGCTGTGATGCTGAGATTATAGTGGGAAGAGGAGGAGATTTAAAATGAGAGCAGACTATTTATGAGGGATGATCCAGGAATCCCTCAGGCGACCTGTCTGAGAGCACTAGCCCCGGGGCACTAACAGATAAAAGGATGTGACATGCTCTCTGTGCATTATACAATCCTAACCACCTCCAATGAAAATGTAGAAAACAACATCTATTCTGTAGTAGTTTTTAAGTATCCCACCCCTTCTGCTTCAGGTCAAGTTATAAATCTGAACACCAGCCTTTTGTATTTTCTGGTTGAACCTCTGCACAAGATGCACATAAAGAAATGAAACACCGGCTTATCAAAAAGGCCACAGCAGAAGTTCTCTACCCATAGGATCCTTTCCAGTGATTTTTCTTTATTTTTTGCTCCCATCATCCAGGCTGTTTTCCAGTCTGACATTGGGAGTCTACTGGAGCAGGTGGGCACCGGGAAGGAATCACTGAGCTTCATGAAGAGACGCATACGCAGGCTGGCAGCGCAGTGGGCCTCTGCTGCTCGACGGCTGGATGACAAGCTCCGCAGCCACTGGAGAGAGCAGAAAAGGGTGAATATGAGGCATTCTGCGGGATGAAAGTGAAGGCAATGAGAACAAGCCTGTGTTGTGGTTTCATCTTTTCAAAGTGCTGTGGCTGCAACAGACTGCAGATGATGCGCCAGTAGAACGGGGCTTTACTCAGTTTCAACAGATCTATTTTCAGATTTTTTCTGTAACTCTGGAAACGCATCTCTCAGCTCCTAATTTAAAGTAAATCCATCTGTTTAGGCATTAGAGAAAAAAAATAACAGGATGTTTTGGATCAAACAGTTCTGAGAAAGTCAGACAGTCCTTTAATGCCCACATGCTAGGCTGCTAAGTTACCAGAACAGCTGTGACATTTTGTTGGACTAACATCTTCTTCTTTTATCTGCGGCTACTCGGTGTGAATGGCAGAATGTTGAGTAACAGACATAAGTAGATAATGACGCAGCATAACTCCTAGCAGGCATTGATTGGCTTTGGTGCACTTTCCCACACTGACATTTACAGGGACATTTCCACAGAGTGTCAGAGTGCTGCCTGCTGGAACAGACTTCTGATGAAATGGCAATGACTTTAGATCTCTTCTGGCGTATATGTTAAAACCTTTACAATATGCTATACTACTTGTATACCGCTACTTAATCAACCCAGAAACATGCAGAAAATCAGGAAATAATACTATATCGCGCAGAAGGACCGATTCTCAGGATAGTACTGACTCAGTCTTCTAAACTGCTACACTTTCATCCTTTTATTGTCAAGTTATTTTTGGCCTTTTGTGGATGTTGACACCACATTGTTTGGTTTTGAAATGTTCTTCTATTGTTGCCTGTGGGGTGCCAGCCAGCAGTCTTCTTTTGCCTTGGAGTGCTCAGTTTTGTGGTCCAGAATATAGCGATTAAAAATAACCAAGTAATGGTTGACACAGAAATTCAACCAATCAATCATGCAGAGATTATAATGTATTATAATATGAAATAGGTATTTTGCAAACATTAAAAACATCCTCATCCATTTGAAATGACATCATCAGCATCACTATCACGCTCTCAAAATAGATAAACTCCACCATACTCGGCACAATCCTGGTGAATAATGTGTGCAGCTTGTAGTGTGGTTCTCTACTATATTCTTATCCACATACATTTACATACAGTATGAGGTTCCTTATCACTGCCTGACATGTGGGAATATTAACTCTGACAAACATATGATTAACATTATGGAATCTTTGCATACCCAATAACATCCTATAAGTGACTTAGCTCAGCGGTTGTTTTTATACCCACACTATAGGTGAGCTGTAAATGTGGGAGATAAAGAGACCTGCACATCTGTTGAGCACATTAGAAATGTATGTATCCGATTTGGATAGAAACAAGAGAATATGTAGCTCTGGATGTGCTGTTGTCCTGGGGATAATACAAATAGCACCTGGGACACAAAGATACGGTGCCTGGGACAATTCTGGGACAGCAGAGAAACTTGTCCTTACCAATGACTTTATTACATTTATGTGTCATGGAATGTGTATCATTTTAATTGTTAGGTGTTCAAATTTGAAAGAAACAGTAATTCAGCCAACAAAAAGAATAAACATTTAGGGTGATTTTCATTTTTTTATTCAGATATATGTAAGTGCAAGAAACAACTAGAATGGCAGATCAGAGTGAGTCAAAGCAGTCATGCAAGATACTGAAACAGTTATTTAACTACATTAATTATGTTGAATGAAAAAAGGAAAACTTTAAATTGGGACAGTTGAAAGTAGAATTTGGGACAGTCAAAATCTGTACCCTACTAAGAACATACTGTATACTCAACACCTGTTAACGAACAGCACTGCAGGGGGAAAATGCAGTCACCAAATAATTTGCATATGTATAAAAATAAAAACGACAACCTTAACTAGGGCATTTCAAGTTTATTTTACCTGAAACAACATTTATCTCTCGCCCTTTTTTCAATATGTGTATGCATGCTGTGTGCACCTCTATATTGGGTATCATATTAATAAGGCACAGTGCCATTATAATGTAGGTTTGCATCTTCTTTGTAGCTGAGCATTGAATTATAGATCATTTTACTTCTGTGGACATGTGGACAGCTCTCCACAAATCCCTCTGTAGCTGAATAGAGGCTTGATACTCCACAAGCTTAAATGAAACATGGGGAATGAAAGAAATTCATTTGTAGTGTTTTGCTTTTTGTAAACGAGCTGACAGTATCCTGGCATTCTGCTGTGTGTGGTTTGATCAGTTTCTTTCATCGGCCAGTTTTTGGCTGGATAAATCAAAGCTAGTTCTGTAAATAACATTACACTCATTCCAAAATGCTTGCTTCTTCCCCACTGGGGAGAGGGCTTTGTTTATTGTTATGGTGTGTTTGACAGTAATGGTTACTGCCCATTAACCAGACCCTGCAGGCTTGGCTTCCATCACTAAAACATTGAGCGCTGTTGAGAAAACAGATATAGAGAAATTAGATGTTTTATGGAACGTCTTTGCCCAACCTGTCTGCATTTTCTGCCTCCTGTTCTGTCATGCTTGGTATCCATGGGAAGCATACTTATCTGCTCTGTAAATCACACAAAAATCAGAAGCCAGAAGGGACACATTTATTTTATACATTTTATGATTGCGCTGCTATCTTAGCATTAAGTACTGCATGTGTGTTGATAGACAACCTACGCAGTGCCTAACAACAGACTGTCACAAAAGATGTTTCCCTTTACCTAAACCTGAACTAAGCCTTCTCTCTAATGTTCTATGCTCAAGCTGACCCCAACCAGTTATCTCTACTAGGCCTAACCATAACAGGACCTAAGACCTCCTCCAACTGCAGAGGGGGGCACTATAAGAAACTCTTTTTGAAGGGGGAATAGACTTTGACACTTGTTCTCAGCCTGCCAGCTGCTGTCAGTACAAAATTGAGCCCTGTGTTTTTTCTACTTATATAAAATTACTGTTCAATAACATTATCGTTATATTCCGTTTCTTTGCTTTGTTCTTTCACCCTGTCAATGTGCGTTCTTCCTGATTTCTTCCGCATGTGGCATTACTGTTGGGACAGTGAGTTTTACATCTGACATGTGGTGTGGACAGTGCTGCAGGCTAAACAGCTCTGTGGCTCACACACAGGGGATATCCATTGTGTCAGAGTGTAGGAGATGAAATTTTGAATTGGATTGGTATCAGAACTGCAAAGCTGGTATTGAGCCATTTCTAATTATACGATTTAAGTCTGAAAAGCACCCATCTGAAAACCGATTTAGCTAAGTCAGATACATACTGGACCAGTCAGTGAAACAAGGCAAAAGTCTAAATACTGATATAATTTGATGCCTCTCAAAAGCATCTTTTTAAAATAGACCTTGTTGATATGAAGTGAAACATGAATCTGCAGCTCTATTAGTCTCAAAGTTATACAGAAATAGATGAATAAAAATAGATGAATAAAATTGCCTTTGAAAGTTTTTTTTTTTTCTTAGTCAAAAGCAATTGACAAAAAAATTAAATGCTGCCATCTGTTGAAAAATCTAATTTCATTACATATTTAACAGCGTGGAAATTCCACCCTTCCCCATCAGCAATTATACCGTTTGTGTATCATTCTGCATATCAATTAGCCCTTAGCAGGTCAATTTTCATTTCAACTCCATGCCCAGTTGGTTGTATTTAAGAGTTACGTTGATGTGAATATGCTGTTACTCTGCTTTCTTGCTTTCATTAGATACTCAATTACATTTGAAAATTTGACATCACTGATCCGTGCCAAATATCAGAATTTATTCATATGAGGAATCCTTTGAAGCATTGGTGAAAATTGCTTTCACAAAATCTCAATTATTCACCATGCAGGAGTGCAGATTATCTGAATATAAAAATCTAGAATTGCTGCATTGTAATCGCTTGTTCCCTACAATAACATTTCAGAAATGGTTTAACAGAAAAGCATACACTGCATTAATGAAACACCATGCTGTAGGGTAACCCGCTCTGCTCTTGCCTTGAATTTTCTTGCTTTTCCTTCTGCATTCAGATTCTAGTTCATGTGGGCTTTCTGACAGAGGAGTCCGGGGACGTGTTCAGTCCCAAGGTGCTGAAGGGGGGTCCTCTGGGTGAGATGGTGCAATGGGCCGACATCCTGACAGCCCTCCATGTGCTGGGGCACAACCTCAAGATCTCAGTTTCCCTCAAAGAGCTGCATGGGTAAGTTTAGATTTGACTTATTCCTCTCTGATCCTGTTATTTCCAAGCTGTAGGCAGAACTGCTGCAGTCAGTGCTGCAGTCAGCTTTGCGTAGTGATGTTTCTCCCATCCAGGTTTAATGTGAGACTCTTTGGGGCATCTGCACAGTAATCATCTGTTGTTTTATGAAAGTGCAAACCATTAAGCATTCTTTTTAGCTTGCTTTGTTTTCCATAGTGCATGCTCTGCAAGTGATCAGCAGCCCAATCGCAGTCCTGTTGCCCACACACTGCTTTCGATCACCTTCGGCCACACAGAGATAAGCTATCTCCCCTTCCTGCAGAGTGCTGTTTCAGCCTGAGGGGCTTGACAGCATCTCTACACTTTGTGTACCTCCTTCCTGCCACAGCTCACTGACTCCAGTGTATGATAACGGGGGTTTGTCGCTCATCATCACAAACATAAGTGGTTGTGCCAGTGGACACACACACATACATGTATACCCAACGTGCCTTCCAGTCAGGCAGACGGTTTCATTCTTTCTAAAAATATAAGACTATTGATTGTCACACTAGCGTTTTCAGAAAGCAGACGTGCCCAGCCCTGCCTTGAGCATTTTCTCGACGCTGTGATCTTTCAGAGCTACTCGCCGGCTTCACGCCGGCTGGTCAGGAAAATGACCGTGTACAAGACGAGATTTGCTGTCGATTCTTTTCTACCAGTGGGTGGTGTGAAGCTGGAGCAGACAGGCTGATGATAATGTGCGCTTGTTATTGAGCACTGTATGTATCCATTGCTGTAGGGAAGAGGTAAGGGCATTGATGAATTAGAGCTGCCCTTTGATCTTGAATTTCAGGCCGTGAAGAAAAGCAGCTTTGATAAGAACAGGCTAGGGAGATCAGTGAGGTGTGGAAGATACCGCAGTGGGATTGCTTCTGCTGGCCGTGCTATTATTTACCCCACTAATTGGTGTCATGGTGTATTGAATCTGCGTCCGTTGGGAACACCATCAGAAATGTTTAGAAATTTGCACAAGTTCTGACAGAGAGACTCACACACAAAACATGGGCCAAGGTTAAGGCTATTACTTTACAACAGCTGAATATAGACTGTGTGTGTGTGTGTGTGTGTGTGTGTGTGTGTGTGTGTGTGTGTTTATGTTTATGCTACAACAGTTGAGATCTTAATGGTATGCTTTATGATGTACATTTATATAAGTGTGCAGTGGCGTTCCATTAGGGCTGATATTGGTCTATATTCATGAGGAAATGAAATGTTCAGCCTCAGAGAAAATATAATGGAGGGCTGAAATTGAAGTCAAGTGGCTTTATCAGGCTCGGACCATATTCCCTCTTTGCTCGCAGCCCCACAAAACACAACCTAGTGTACATATCTTTTTTTTTTATGGGATTCTTAAATTGGCCAGTTAATGGCAGATGCCGAACATCCATAAATCCCTCTTCCTGTGACTATTAATGAATAGAAAAAGGGAGCATTTTTCTTCATCCCTTATACTCTTACTCTCCCACACGCTATTAAATTGACAGATCGTTATGTGGGTTGTGCTCCCACAGATTCCCTCAGGCTTGTATCTATTTACATTTTCTACTCTTCACTTTCCCACCCAGGCTTTGGAAAGGAGCTTAATATCACGGGATGGCCTGCTGTGGTTCTTATGTGGACGGGATTGGTGATATGTTTAGCCCTTTTCTCCGATAGACAGATTGGCCACACTGGGAGCTTAATATACAGTGGGAGTCGAGCTGTTGGTTTGCAGCATAATTGCCTCTAATTGGCAACATTCATGCTCTCTGGTGGCTTCTTTGAGTAGTCACTTTGTCTGGCGTCTTTCCCTCGCTGTCCTGCTTACCCAAATCAGTTCTGCTCACACATCCCTCCTTCAGTCTCTTCTCCACTGCAAGATCTCTAGCTTATTTCTCCAGTAGATGCCTCACAAAGGCATTCTGTCCTTTCCACACACTGCAAAATGTTCTCAAGGGAACATCACTTATCACACCCTTTTGGAATAGTGTAGTTGTGATTGTTTAGTGAATGTAATTGTAATTATGATACAGTTGCATCAGTCTGTTGTTTCCTCAATTCCGTATATATGCAACATTTCTCAAACAAGGTTTATCAAGTGTTCAAACATTCAAACATAGCGCTGTGGAAGCCAAGCAACATCAGCTCTGCATTAATATTATATGCTGTTTTGCTCGCAATGTTTGTCACTTGGTCGGTCTAGAGCAAAATATGTCAACACCTTTTGGATGCACAGCCATGAAATGTATTCATGTTCCGCGGTGGATGAAACAGTGGCTTTGGTGACCCCCTGACTTTTCCTCCAGCTCCACCAGTAGGGACAGTGTTATCTCACATCTTTTGAAATGTATCAACACCTACGAGATGGATTAGCACAATATTTTGTACAGACAGGTGATGTGTCTTCATGACTTTGGTCATCCCCTTGACTTTTCCTAACCATGAGGTTCACATGTCTGTTTTTGTGTGAAATGTCTCAAGAGCTATTGGATGGATTACAGGGGAATTTGGTACACACATCGATGAGTTCACGAGGAAAAGAGTACAAGACAGATCCATGTAAAGGTTGAGTAGTAGTAATAGAACAGGGGAAGATGTGCAGTTCTGTCATCTTTCCTGGGTTTATTGTAATCGAGGTGGAGACTGAAGTGTCTGTGACATCATTTCTGTCTGTAACACCAGCGCTTGTCGCACACTGAGGGGAGGGCCCTACGGCAGTTTGCAGAGCGGCAAAGACAGCTGTCACTTCCGCTTGGGGATCTCCCCTCATCTCCTCTCAGAGCGACACGGGTAATTAGCCTGCGACAGAGCATGGCGTCTCAACACCTGAGGGGTGGTGGATGGGAGGTGGGGGATGGAGTGAGAAAACAGAAGAGAGACAGAATAAGGAGGGTGGAGGTGTAGCTGCAGCCTGTCAGGTTTAGCAACTTCTGTCAGCAGAAGGGAGAAGTGATGTATGCACACACTACCACCCAGTAATCTGAAGAAACTAAGATTTTAGTCCTGTGCTCAAAACCCACAGGATACATGATGGCTCCATACTCCACTTGCAGTCTCTCTCACGCTGATATTATTTCACTGTTTTCACATACTTCTGTATCCCAGGACGTGAGTGCCGCTGAGCGTAGACATTTTGCAGATGGCCGTTCTGTATCAATTATGTGTAGTGGGTTTATGTGGAGCAGTTGACAGAGCGCATTAACACCAGTCACCAGGTAATCTCACCTTGTTTCTCCCTGCAAACACAGAGACGTGCTTGAATTGTGTGATCAGTCAACCTGCTGGATGACAAGCGCTAACCCTAAAAAATAATTTAACAAATGTCAAATGGGAGATCACTTGCGTCTGTAATCCAGCAGCCTAGCCTGAAAGGTGGATGTAATGACAGGCGTGTGTAGGGCATTCTGAAGTGTGAAATAAGAAACCTGAAATCAAAGTCTTATTATACTGCCAGTCTCAGGTTGTGCTGATGCACTCTTACCCTGCAGCCTTCTGATTGATGTGTCTTTGTTTCTGTGCTTTGAGATGAAAAGCAAAACAGCAGCATTGTTAAAAATAGCCAGTATGGGCCATTAGTGAGATAACATCCCAAGGATTTGTTTTCAGTGTTGGATGATGACTAATTGAGGTTAACAGCCCAGTGCTTGTGTGTTGCAATTGACATTTGCGTGATATTCCTTAATTTTGATTACTATGGAGCATTTAGTTTCCTAAAATACAACTGCGGACAGCGTTTCTAAATATATGTTACCCTTAAGGCTTTTAACAGATTTTCACTTTAAAATACTAAATTTAGAAAGGACCAAAAATGTTTAGACCAATATTTTTTACACATATTTTATGTCTCTACACCCAAATTTGTTATATTTTCAGCAGCATAAGGACACTTTTTACCGCAGTTTAAGAAAATTAGGTCCTTCTCGTGATGTTGACAGCTCAGAAAGTGCTTCAAGAGAAGAAACTGCAAATAAGCTGCTAATTTTGCACTTCGGTCCCAAGTAAAAAAAAGTAAAAAAAAACTAAAATCACAGTTTACCCCACCTGTTGGTATTATTGATGTTTTTCCCCTCATTAATGCAGATTTATTTCCTGTTTTCTTTTTTAAATAGAAGGTGAAAATAATGAGCCCTGGTTACTCTCTATACATTCACACAGCTGTTGGACACAAAGTAGGAGACAGTGTTTCCCCTGCGCTGTGATAGAGACCATTTTTACAAGCTGTTTTAAGATGTGTTTTGAGCCAGATCTTGCACATCAAAGTGGCGCATCAGCCATATCTGATCATAACAGCATCAACATCTGAGTTTTTGTCTTTTCCTGCTATCCTGCTGTCTCAAGTGTCCGATTAGCATGCCAGACCCAGCTCCCTCTGCTTCACAAAACTTCCCATCAGCTCTCCTCTATGTCCATGTCATTCCCCTCACACTGCGAGCCCTCTCTGCAGCCGCCCTGCAGCCCTCAGTAAACTCCATGCCCCCAGCCTCAGCCCCTCATATGTGCCTGGAAATCTCCCTCAGCCAATTCCCCTCACTGCTGGACATGTGCGCCCTTCCTTTAAGGAGTAATGCAGTGTGACTATGGAGTCTCTTACACTCGTTTGTTTCTGTTGCTCTCTCCCTTTCCCCAACTGGTGAGTTGCCATGGTGCCAGTGGCCAGCTGTGAAACAGAGAAATTGTGCCCGATGGTGGTTCTCAAATAGCGTCCTGAAATGCACGCAAGCTGCTTTTGTTCTTCTCTTTGCAGTCCTTCTCCAACAACTTATTTTTCCTCTCTGAAGTCTGAGCAGGCCATCAAAGTCACTTTCATACTTTGTTTTTGCATGTGTGTCTTCATGAATAATGAGGATTTTATCTTATTAAAAAAAGAATTAAATAAGTTTATCCTGCTTGCAATTATTGTCTCTGTAGCCAGACCCTGATGTGCCTCCATGCCAACTCCAGCGTTGTCCAAAAGCTTTTAAAAACACATTTAGAAACAT